TAATGAGAATGGGGTGAGAGACAGTGTCGAAGGTCTTCCTAAAGTCCAGAAAGACTACGTCCACTGCTACCCCTGCATCTAAGGATTTTGTGACCTGGTCATAGAAGGCTTTTTAATAGTTTCTAGTGACAGTGACTATGACATCTTGGAATGGGAGTGGTGCCCCTCAGGCTTGGGATAAACGGTTGCAGAGTAAGAAACAAATCTTATCATGACTAAGAGAGACACATGTGCGTGCACACACACAGACTCTCCTTCTCCCTTAAAGTCACTGCAATTATCACACAAAGTTAACCAATAAGTAATCTGATGAGAAAACAAATATTTACACATTAACTTTGTCTATTTTATCTGATTTTGGCTTTATATTGTTTAACTAACTTGTGTGAGTTTGAATGGCAATATTTGTCATTCTTGGAATATGAACAAAGATAATCATGCTTAAATAGCAAGGGACACAGGAAGAAAGAGAATCTGAATAAACATGTTAATTTAGGATTCTGGGAACAAACATCATGGAATGAAAACTTCATTAATGTTAATTGTTGCTTGTAGAGTTCAAGGGTGAAAGCTTTAGAGAATGAAAAAAATGAGAACGGACATTAATTATTAAATATGGTGCTTGAAGACATTTTCTAGACCAAAAAGTGAGGTAAATTGTATAATACATGTTAATTTTCTCTCTCAGAATGAAGAGGATCCTTTAAGAAAAACTATGATAATGAAGAGGTAAATACGTATATCTATTTTATATATATATATATATATATATATATACACACACACACACACACACACATACACACACACCCACCCCTAATAATCCCTGTAAAGAGTATTACAGTTGTACATATGCCTAGCACAGTTTTGTCAACTTAAGTCTTGCCATTTTATATGTTTCTGTTAAAACTCCAGCTCATGGTTTCCAGTGAACATGAGAATTTTGGCTTTTATGTTACTAAGAAAAAAACCTAGCTTTCATGACTCTGCAGAAAACTTTAAAACACACGACCTGTGATAATTCCAAACACAACCAGGCAAATAAAAAGAGGCCAAATGCATTTTTATTTATAATGCTTCATAATCTAAACTAGGGCTGTGTAGCTGAGAGGCCACGGGTCGCATGTAGCCTGTGAGTGGTTTAAGTGCAGGGGGCTGGTCAATGCAGTTGTCAGAGCCACTGTGTTGGTGCAGCTCTGGAGCCCACGAAATAAATGCCGCTGCCACTCGAACTATACCCTTTTGCCTGACACTGAATTTGGGGTCTTTGGTTGCTATTGGTGACTACAATTGGCAGTAAGGGAAAAGGGAGGGCAAGTGGCAGTAGCATTCACCCCGGGATTCTGGAGGCACAACAACAGCACACAGCACCGTACCTAGACTCCTGGCGGCACTGGGTGAACTTTTAGTATTAAGCCCCCCTTTGCCATAGATAATGATAATAATAATTCTTATTTTCAACATTTTAGGCTCCTTTCCAGCTGGGCCCCAGGTGGCCACCTGGTTCACCCATACCTGTGTCTGGCCCCAGCAGCACAGTAGCTCCAGCAGCCATACCAATAAGCTGCCCCACTCCAGCCTGCGAGAAGACCCATGGTCTACATCTAATGTGCAGAGTCAAATGAGTTGGACACCCCTTATCTAAACTCTGGAGGTTTTCTGGAGGTCTCATGTTTTTTTGGTTGCTTATAGGTATTGCATTTTTTTAGCAATTACTTCTCCAAAGTTACTTTCCTTAATTGTTCCCCACCCCGCTATGTACATGTAAGGTGATTGTTTTAAATTAAATGAAGCAACAAGCCACTGCAGTGTGTATCTGCAAACAAGCAGTGAAGATATTCTGCTTCTTCCTCTGTGCCTCACAATACACCTAGTATTTGGTCGTATATCCAGTGAAGTCCAAAGCAGTCCTATCCTGAGGGATCATATCACTGTAGTTTCACATTTGCACACCCTCTTGTGGCTTATGGCTCTGATTTTTAAAAAATGAGCTTGAAATTTTAATTTTATAGGCTCTAGTAAAACTAAGTTGGTTTGAGACAGGACCTCTGGCAAAGATTCAACAATAGCCTTATTTAGTATCTTCAATCAACATCACATTCACTGGCTATAAAATGAAATTAGTAAACAAATGAATACAATGGGACCAAGCTTTTTGGCAAGTGCCACTAATTAGCCCTGTATCCTCCTCAAGTGCCACTCCAATCCCCTTCCCCTGTCCAGTCTGCTCCTCTGCTTTCTGCTCCCTGTCCTGTGCTCCTTCTCTGATCTGCTGTTCTGCTTTCTGCTTCCTGCCCTATCTCCAACTGTGCTGCCTGTGCCCTACCTGATCTACCATGTGCCATGCACAGAGGATGCCTGGCCACCCCTGAACTAACAGGTCGGACACTCAGTCATACACCATTCTTAAGCATGGTTTAAAGTCAGGATAGATGGGGCCTTGGGAAAGTAACTATCCTTGAAACAATTTTCAAATCTTTTTTTTCCTCTCTTTTTTAAGTAGTCTGGTTTATATAGTTCACATACATGTGATATGATTACACAATGCATTACCTCAACTATGTGCCTTTTAAAGGGGATACTCTCTAGTTCTAGCACACACTAGCATTTTAAGCTATCATTTATGAGGCTTTTTCTTCATAACAAAAGAAACCAAATGAATCTTGATCTAGGTTAAACCCTTTCCTCTAATATAATTATAGAGCTTCATTATCTTACCCTATGCCCAAAGGAATGCCTGCTGGTCTATAACATGATAGAACAGCACTCCAAGCTTCTTTTCCAATTATGTGTTAGGCTTCTTCTACGTAAGAGAAATGACTCTCTGGTGTGATACCCTCAGCATAACAAGGTATAGATAAGAACAGCATCTCATCCTTTGTTCTTTGCTACACCAGGCCTGCAAACTCAGGGCTGAACACTAAAGGCAAGTTGTGCGCATCCTTCCTTCTATCACAAAGATTCTAGAATCAAATCTAAAATTGCAACTCCGACCTCAAAAGAGGTTAAGTAAAAATGGCACCTTTGGAATCAACATTCTGCTTTCTATGCATATTCACAGCCACATTTGCTTTGTTAAGTGATGTATTTGTGCTGCTGCTTGAAGCCCTAAAGAGCTAATAAAGCTAAGAGAGTATGACCTGCATTCCATTCCTTCTTGTATAGCAACTTGATTGTTTAACTGCAACCTGTTACACCTGTGCAAACTTACTGGTGACTAGAGCTAGATGCATGTAACTGAAGGCCTAACTTGCCCTTCAGGTTTCTATATTATTTATGATGATGTAAACCCAGCTTGACTTTTGGATGACAGTGAATTTGCAGGATGGGCAATCAAAGGAAGCATCCTTTTACTTAGAACAGTGGTTCTCAACCTTTTTAGACTCGAGGCACCCCTTGGAAAATGCTAGCTCATAGCTTTTGTTTGTTTTTTGATTACAGAAAAGTAATAGACCAGTTCTTCTGTTGCAAGGAACTCAGAAAGACCACAACAGGGTGGAATGGTTAACACTATGAATTTCTATTTGAAATCTCTGGTTTTATCTTGTGAATTATGTTTGCACACCTAACAGTGCTGACACTGCATGGCACCCTGTGGCACCCTTGAAAAGGACTTAAGGGACCCCAGGTTGCTGCAGCATCATGGTTGAGAATCACTGACTTAGAAATATGCAGCTGGCTTTTGCTGTATTGTGGACTTGACTGCAATACTGTTAGAGAAAAAAATTGTTTCTTCCAGTAAATGAAGTAGATGACACAATGAAAGCACACTGATGCATTAACAAGCAAGCACCAAGGGGGAGAGGAGAGAGAAACAGGAAGTTCAGCAGCACCTTTGATGTTGCCTTCATTTGGGATAACTAAAAATGACTTTGGCACTCTGTAAGCTAAGAGCATCCTGCCAAGTCCCCAACTGCCTATGGCTCCTGGGGAGAATAGCTGAAGCACAGCAGAAGAAGGTGTCCTATGGCAGGGAGATTTTCAGTATATGGACCCTCTACACCAAAGAAGGGAGCACAAATAAGTCAGTAGTGAATCAGGCCATTGAGGTAAGAAGCTGTAGTACTTTCATTGTGAGAAATAAGAGATAATGTCTTAACCGGGCAAGGTATGGAGCCCTTCTCCTAGGACAGGATCTGGGTTTTAAGATAAAGATTAAGCAGGGGACCAAAGGCTAATGTATGGTATTTACTGGTCAAATGACTTGGGTCCTTTGTTTTACTGATATGGGCCAGCTGCTGCTGTAGTAACCTTCAATTTAACACCCCCTCAACTCTCCCTTCAACAGATTGTATCACTTTTTTTTCATTAAATACTGCTTTGTTGCTGTACACTTTGCAGTGGTTGTTGGTTTGGCAATACCATCTTTGGACTTTTTTCTTTTCCTTCCTTTTTTTCTTTTCTGTGAGATGGCCCTTTCCCAAAACAAGCCATTCTCCTTTTCCACAAGCTAGCACGCCAGGCAGTTTTTCAAGATTGCATAACATGTCTGTCAGAAGATGATTCACTTTGGCTGTCTGAAGCACATAGCACAAATACCTGAGCAGATTATAAATTAGCTGCCTCCTCCTTTTGAGACTCACTATAAAGGACAGAAATATATTGTTTACATTGGGCAAATTCCAAAGCAGCTTTGAAAACCTTTTAAAAATGCATCTGCACCACACAGTACCCCCCACTCATAATACACATTTCATGATCTCTTCTATTGTACAGCACAAGTAAACTTGCTGTGCAAATATTAGCTATCCTGTCTGAATGAAGAAAAATTATACTGTGTCAATAAGAAGAGAGAAGCAGTGATCTGGGTCTGTTTTTTTTATTTGGGTTGTCTGAACCTTTGAAAGTTATAGATGCAATTCCTCTGTCTTAGAAAGAAAACTACGTCAGATAATGTGTTCTTACCTTCACCTGAACTGAAGTTCAACTGATTAGGAACATCAGCATTTTGGACAGATTCCAAGAGAGACAGACAAATGATTTCTCCATCCAGACCCATTATGAGGCTGCCTAGTGAAGTGCCATTATGACACTCTGGAAAGCATAAAAATGAGCAACATTACTGACACACTAATTCACCTCGAAATCCATTGAAATAGAGACAATAAGAGTTATGATATTTCTATGAAAATATATGTACAAAGCTACCGAAAACTGTGACCACATTGTCATAGTATGATTCAGGGTAGGCTGATGCTAAAGAATCATATTCCATTACAGGGGATGGGACAGAGCATAAAATTAGGTCTAGATTTTGAAAGTTATCCCCACAGTTCATATGCGTTATTTCAGGATTTTGGTCGTGCTCTACATAAAGACAGTCCTCAGCTGTGAAATTCAGACTGATGTCAGGAGTTGGGTTCTGAACTCCATTCCCACAAAGCCTGGGGGTGATCTGATCAAGGGTTATTATTACACAGTGTTCATATTTTCTGGACATGACTATTTATACTGACGTGAAAAATAATCTTCAAATGAAAATCACTAAGAGTATTTTCCTTTTCCCCTTGCTGCTCTATTCTATACTCTGTAAATGGAATTGTACTTTGGTGACAACCCATTATCTTTACTCTTCCTGATATACTGGTAACTTTAGAAACTGCTGCTAGCTGGTCATTACTTTTGGATGCTATCATTAGCTGGCATATAGACAAAACAGTGGATTAGTAAAAGCACATGTTTAATTGGAATGGGATCCAAGTACCTCTGGTATAAATGAGTATTTTTTCATTGGCTTCAACTGAATTGCACTTTCTAACAATAGGTCTTTGGAGATTAGTGACTTCTCTCTGTGAATTTTTAACTTCATATTTAGCCAGCATGCCTGTGAACAAGCAGATGGTCTATGCTGGCTTTTTGTCATGTATATTTGTTGCTGAGGGTAGCTAACTCCTTCCCACTGGATACATCATCTATATGATTTGTTGTCTCTTCCCTTTTTTGTGTCTTAATAATCCATGTTATCGTGCATGCTTTTCTAATGGCATTTTATAATGGGACCTTTCTTTTCTCAGAAACTTGCCCATCAAATATTAAACAACTCCTGAAATTCACAGTGCTGCTGCTAAAAGCAGCATGTTTATTTCTGGCTTTAAAAAAGGAGAAAAGATCCATTGTGCCTCTCTAGTATGTGCCGTGTGAACAGAAGAACATATCTGCAGATTCCATGCATAGTACAAACATATACAGTTGTGACTGTTACCTCTCAGCTCTTCTGGTAGAGCACCGTGAATGGTTCCCGTGGGGAGAGCCTGAGAAGTGCTGTTTGTGAATATGCTGCTGCCAGAAGTTTTCAAATTCTCTCTGCCGCTCTGGGTCACTGGAATCTTCTTCCTATGTATGCAGGACAGCAGACCTAATGTTGGGGCTGCATTTTGGGTAACTGAATCATCATCTAGGAAGAATCATGTAAAAAGTACAATAATAAAGGCCTGCATAAAATAAAATAATATATTCTGCAGAGAAACAGATACACACACACACAAATAGAAGGGGTGGGTCCAGATGAGTGTGCAAATGTGGTATGCACTGCAGACCTGTCCGTGATGCCGCACACTGCACGCATTGCACATGCAGGTGTTCTCCATGCTGCTAATTTGCAGGGC